GGGAGACACAGAAACAACAGAGGTAAAGTAAAGAAGTAGCATCTACTAGTGCCGCCCTCCACTGACCAGCGGAGCAACTTGCCTAAACTGAAAATAATCCAGCTATACCGAAAACCCAGTGAAACCGAAATGTGAGGCAGCGTGGTGGAATCAGGCTCTCGTCATTTTTTGGGCATGTAGAGTTATTGGTATCATCTTAGAGCTTGTTCACTTGTCTTTATTTGGATGGAAAAAATATCCATTTATCTTGAATACAAGTCAAGATATTTGCGAATGAAGGAGGTGGGGGTCACCCGTTTTCAGAGGTAAAATTAGTGAGAAAATAGCCGCTTAAGATTCGTTATTTCCTTAGCTTAAGAGTCCATGGTAACCGAAAATTTACATTTTCTGTGCTTTTGATCAACGTTTTTCAGGAAAAATCAACACAGAAATGAGTTCTTTAATGGGCATGAAAAGTGTTGAACTAAAAAACAAAAATTTGATAAAAATTCATAAGCCTGCGGAAAAATGCAAGTTTCTTCACTTTGATTATTTTGACGAGAGCCTGATTCCACCACGCTGCCTCACAAATACCTGGCTAAACCGAATTATCCGGGTAAAACGAAAACCCAGCGAAACAGAAAACCCAGCTTAACCAAACACCCACCTAAACCGAAATCTCGGCTAAACCGAAAACCCCATTAAACCGAGAAAAAAAACCGGCTTAACAAAAAAAACCGGCTTAACCAAAAACCCGGCTAAACCGAAAACTTGGCTAAAAAAAACCCACCCAGCTAAACCGAAAAGAATCCGGCGATTCTTTTACAGTAGTTTCAGAGGACTCCACTCCAAATTAGTGCTGGGCGGCCTGGTTAACGATTCTTAAAAGCTAGGAATGGTAGGAATCGACTCCGAACCCAATTACATGTACTTACTTTCTAAAGGTGTGATTTCTTCCGGTGGGTACCTGGTTGGCTGTGAACATCTTCAGGATTTAGGATAACTTGATTTCGGAAAACTACCAAGTATCAACTCTTTTATCTCCAAAAATATATTCTAAAAAAAGAAGAAGATTTAAATGATTAAAGTAACTGGCAACCGTTGGTTTTCGTAAAAAGGAGTCGGAACTTTTCTTCCGTATCATTAATCGTGGGAATCGGTTCCGGAATCAATTCTTCGCCCAGCTCTACTCCAAATCCAATGTATATCTTCCCAACTGGTTGGTCTCATGATGCAGAGTGCCCTATGTACGTTCTTCTACTATTCTCCGACCGTCGAGAGAGAGAGAGAGCCCTTACTTCGTCCCGGCTCTTGATCTTGAACTTCGCGTTTCTTATCGCAGACTGAGACAAGAGTGCTAGACGAGAGGGGGGGGGGGG